GAAGAAATCTATGAGGAAACCCATTAGAATTCATCCAAGGCCTTTAAGGAGGGATTCCATGGGTTACTTAAGGCCTAAGCAGAGAATTAGGGTTTCTCCTGAAACCCTAGCAGCCCACACAAGTATAAAAGGACCCTTAGGGCTCCTAAAAACCTGGCTAAGAGCTCTCTAGCAGACCTAGGACGTTTTTGATGCTCCTCCCCTCTCTCCAATATCGTCCTCTTGCTTGTGGTGCTTGTAAGCCATTAGAGGAGTGATATTTGTGACTCTAAGCTCCAAGGAAAGAATATTCAAGCATTATTGAAGAGATTCAAGATATTCTTGAAGATGTAATCATCTAGATCTGTTCATATATGATAATTTTGAAATATGTATGCTAGATCTAGGCTTCTTGAGTCTTGGATGAATTGCATGTATAATAGAGAAACCTAGATCCAAGCTTTAAGGTTGGCATGAGCACATAGGATGTTCTTTTGTATAAAAACCATCAGTTATGCCCTTATATATTGACAGAGCCAGTCCAAAACAATCGAGGATAATCTCATCGTCACGTCGAGACTGTCATATGGTCATGTTGTGACTACAACAAAATAAGACAACTTAATGTATTCAACCCTAATCTTTTAAGCCATCCATTCCAACTCTCCGGACAACATTCTTACTCCAAAACCATTCTAAAATCAGTGGTTTATAGACATGCATTTCTGATGCTTGTCTTGATCTCATATTATGTCAAAATGATGAAAACGTGGAATCTCAATCACATGAATGTCTTCACAACTTAGCCAAAATTCGGATCCAACAAACACAACCCTCAAGTGTAACATCCCATTTATTAAATAAAATAAATAGATAAAGATTAATAAAATAATAGTAGCCCTAAAATCCATAATATTTAGCGGTGTGTTGGCTTCGGGGAGTTAAACGTCATAATTTTGGAGGCCAAGGGGCTGAATGGTAATATATGCACTTTAGTTGTAAATAATTTGTAGAGGAATAGTTGTTTTGTAAAATATTGGGCTTGTTATGAAAGGGGTTTTAGAGGCTGGGGCTAGAAGGGTAAATTATGGAGTTAATTTGAAAGAAAGAGGAGAAGGAAGGACCGATTGTGCCATTTTGGAATGAAGTTTGATGGGGTTTGGGTATATAACCCGAGACCCTCCCGGTAACCCTAACCCTAACATCAAGAATCAATTGCCACCTCTTTCTCTACCTCCAGCCGCCGCTATCGGCGCCGACCACCTAGCACCATCAAACAACTCTTGTCACTGACATCAACGATGACCGACAAGAACCGGGAAAGGGAGCCACATAAGTCGACGACCAGAGAAGAATTTGACATCGTGGAAGCTACTGTCGCTGTCTAGCTGTCGGCGAAGACGAATGGTCACTACTCTTACGTGATTTAGTTGTAGAGATCGGGAGACCGACTTTGTGAGGCTGCTATAGTCGTGGTTATATCTCTCTCTCTGTCTCACTCACCTCTATTCTTCTGCCGACGTGTTGTCCATATTGAAGACGTGGTCACTGTCGTCCATTGCCGCTCCAGCGGCTGTTCCACCCGCTAGTATTGTTATTGCCGCTGCCGTGAGCCGCCCTTGACCACCGCTACCCGAGGTGGTAGTGGGAGGTGCCCGACTTAATTAACAATTAGTTAACCTAAAAACTTAACAAATGGACTAATTAGAACGCGATTGGGTTGGAAACCCTAATTAGGGTTTAGAAAACCCTAACGTTTGGATATGTTAATTTGGAATTATCGGGACCCGCATGTTTGGACCATTGGATTGGAATTATGAATTAATCCCAACCATATTGTATGTTTGACCTAGTAGAGTGATGTACTTAATGGATTATGTACTTAATGGGTTAAGTAAGAACACTTAATCCTAATCGTCATTTTATGTGAAAACCCTAATTTTGCTTGGGTCTTGAGTTGGGCCTTTCTATTGGACTTTGGTGATTAGACTATTGATGGGCCATCCAAGAACAAGTATATGGACTAGAATACTTGCATGGGCTTAGGGTAAGCCCCATGTGAGTGGTTTGGGACCAGTTTAGAAAATTGGGCCATAGATGTGCCATAATTGGGCCTTGATAATTATGAAATATTGGACCATCGAAATGCCAAGTGTTTGGACTAAAATAAATGGTTGGGCCTTAAGATAAGACCATAAAGTGGTTTGGGCCCAATTTGGAAAATTGGGCCATATGTTGGGCTTTGGTCTATTGTTTGACTTTTGGGCCTTTGGGGTGTGAGTTTGGGCCTTGGGCTTGAATCAAGCTAGATTGGGGGTAAAGTAGTATTTTACCCCAAGCATGGACTTGTGGTTATGTATTCGAACCCAATTTTTAATTGGGTGTTGTTTGATGTTGACAGTTCGGAAGTCTGTCATCTGACAGCTAACGTTTTGCCCGCGGGACTTCAGTAGTGTGAGGTAAGCTGTACTCACTATACTAATAGGGTCGAAGGCACCAATGTCGACCCTTATTGGATTGTTATCCTGGTTATTGCATGATGATATGCTTAGTGACATGTTAGGTCGGTTTCCTTGTATATAGGATGATATGTTAGTGGCCTATTAATTCGGTATCCTGGTATATAGGATAATGCTATGATTAGTGATCTGTTAGATCGGTCTGACTGTTTGTACATGCTTAGCTAGCTTATGATATTATATGTTGATTATGTATGTGGGGTTTGATTGGGGCGGACTTGCTTTGTGCTTTCTAATAAACCCAAGGCGGACCGGGTAGACTACAGACCCATTAGGGCATATCAGTTAGGTCGCAGGCCTAGAGAATGGTCCAGACAGGCTGAAGGCCTGGGTGGGCGTACCAGACATGCTGAAGGTTCTGAGAGTGGGCCATTTAGACTGTAGGCCAGGTAGGGGCAATGCAGTCATACTGTAGACTCTATATGCATGTTATTTACTTGCTATGATATAGTTATGATTTGTATGGCGTTAGTATATTGGGGAAACTCACTATGCTTCGGGTTTACAGTCTTGGATTTTGTTTAAGGTACTTCGGATGATTGCGGGAAGGCGAAGGCGTGATTGTGTACCTCCTCGCATTTTATAATTTTGATTTCTGGGATACTCTGATATGAAACTAATTTGAAAATATTTTGTAATAAATATTGGTTTTTGAATGTTGAATTTTTTTTTTAAAATTTTCATGAATTTTTATGGATGTTACACCAAGGGACCTCATGTACCCATAACATTGCCAACTTTATGGAATCCTTCCATCTCAACTTCCACAACATGAAGAAAAAGGGAGACACAACCTAGATCTAGAAGCTAACAACATAAAGATTGGTTCTTGAACACTTACAATGATCAAGAAATGGCTCCAATACAAACTCCAAGCTTACCAAGAGATTCTTTACACCACAAGGCCTTCTTCTTTATTCCAAGAGTACCAAAACACCAATAATAAGCTAACAAATGAAGATGAGGATATTAGGGTTTACTTCAATTCTAAAGGGTAATGGAGGCTGGAAATGGAACCCTAAATCCGAGATTAAAGGATTAAATACAAAGGAAACCTTAAAAAGATCATTGGCTTGGGCTTCAGCCATTGTCATATCGTGACCATACTCATGTCACGTTAGGACATGTTTTCAGATACATGTTCTTATCTTTGACACGTCACTTCGTGACCTCCCTATGGCCACGTCATGACACATAATTTTCCTCAAAACCACGTATTTAACTTCTTTATGCCCTAGACCGTTCCAATCTTGAAAGTTGGTGTTACAATATTCCCTTGGTAAAATTAGTTGTTCGTAATTTTTTGGAAAGTTTTAAAAGTGAGGTATGTCGGTATTTACATAAACAAGTATGTTGGAAATATGTTGTCGAATTTACCAATTGTTTTTCTAAGAAGATAGGGAATATGGGTAGGTTAGTGGCTTGGACCATTTCTTATGTCAATAACAAGAGAAAAATTAAATTTTCTTTATATTTATCTTTCGACTCATATAAGATTATGACATGTGAATATCATTGATTATTATTTTTTTTTAATTCCTTCTTTTGATTTTGAAATACATTTTTTTTAATTCCTTCTTTTGATTTTGAAATATGTATTGATCCAACAAGGAGGTAGATAATTTGGAATAAAAGATATGAATATATTTTACTTCTCATAATAAAATTAAAGAAGGATATAAAACTATAATAATTGTTTTATTTTGGAGAGGGGCTGAAACTATAATAAACTTTCTTTTTAACAAAAAAAAGAAAAATGAAATTAATCCATAAAAACCAATATGGTGTTAGCTTAAGGACTATTTTTTCAAAATTCTCTAAATTGTATGGTATCGTTAGAAAAACCCTATAAGAACGCATAGCTACTTTTGAAACGATAAAAATGTTGGGTGTTCTTTCTTTAATCATTTTCTTACTAGGGGTTATAATGAAATAAATAGGATGAAGACTTGATTTTCTAGAAGTCTATTTTGGATTTATTTATATCTGTGTGCATTGACCCCCAGGCCGTTGTAGAAAGAAAGAACATATATGCATATTTGTAATATGATGAACAAGAAAAACCATGAAAGTCGTCATCATCATCATCAATAGAGCTAAAAGGTTATCTCATCACATATATATACCCAAGCTTCCCCTTTCCTAGGTCTGGTTTTATGGCACCGCCTTTCTGACAGTTGCTGTTCTGTTTTCTCGACCATCGCCACTGTCCATGGCCAAAACCACCATTTTTAATCAAGCTTTCTCTCTCTAGAAACTTTTTTTCCCTACTTTTGCTTGGCATAAAAGTGAAGCTTTTAAATTTGCTTTTTGTTCTTGTTCAATTCGCACATGTTTTTCATCAGAAAGATAAGTTCTTTTTAGATCTCGATGAGTTATTTTGTGGCTGCAAAAGGAAGAACTTCATAATTAAAGATCGAGACAAGATAGACTTTTTAACACTCTTTTTTTTAAGTTTCACCATAATCATAACATCTTCATCATCATCACATATGAACTGAAATGGCTGAAGAAGAGAAGATCATCAGAGGGAGTAATACTATGATCGACGACTCTACAGATAATTACAATTGTTACTCTGATGATGATGATCATCATCATATGAATTCATGTAGCAACCGTAATGCTACAACTACCTTTGAAACAAGCCCCTTTAGAGATCTTCAACTACGAGTCACACAACTCGGTGAGTCACAACTCACCGATGTTCTGGAAAAGACCCTTCTTCTCCTCCTTCTTCCAAACCGATCACTGATTCAGATTTCTATCATTTTGATGAGTCGTCTCTGCAAAGATGTGTGTTTCCTTGTGCACCGAATGAAAGGCCAAGTCAAGGTCTCTCTCTTTCTCTCTCTTCAGCTAACCCTCCCACCATAGGAATACAACCATTTGAGCTTGTAAGACCACAAGAACATCATTATGAGCATCATCACCACCAGGGGTATTTTGGAAAATCCATGAGTATGGATCATGACCAACATCATCAAGACATGATGACTCAAGATGGGTTTTTGGGAAGACCTGGAAACATCATTAACAGTAGTGGCGGCGATGGTGATATTGACGGTGGTGGTGGCGGCGGCGGTTCTCACTATAACCACTATCAAAGTACTGCGCAGTACAACTTAAGAACTTCGCGATACCTGGTTGCAGCACAAGAGCTTCTCAACGAGTTCTGTAATCTTGGATCAAAGCAAAGCGATCATTCACCAAAAGCGAAAGGTGTAGACACAACATCAAATCAGTGGCAAGATACACATGATAACTTGAATAATGCTAGTTCTTCAAAAACCAAATCTTTATCTTCTATTGAACTTATGGAATTGCAAAAAAGAAAAACGAAGCTTCTCCAAATGCTAGAAGAGGTATAATTTCTTTCAATTTTTAGTTTTTTCAAATTTTTACTGTGACATATTTAGATTATAAATTTCATGCTTTAAATATACTTCGAAATTGTTTCGATTATATTGTTGTAAAGTATCTTTCTTTCTTATTTTTTTCTTTTTCAAAAATTAAAGATTCCCTTTTTTAGTTGAAGAATTTGATGTCTTTTAATAAAAGAAATTGATCTTGAACCATTTAAGTGACTGAGAACCTTCCCACAAATGTTCATATGATGACAAGTTGGATGCTTCATTTAATTCAAGAAACCTCCATTCTTGTTCACTGATTTTATATATTAATTATTCCTCACCTTGTTTATTTTTAATATTAATTAATGAAAAATATCTGATCTTGATTTTGTTTTTATTCATTAAATTAAATTAGGTTGATAGAAGATACAAGCATTACTGTGATCAAATGAAAGCAGTTGTATCATCATTTGAAGCAGTGGCTGGTAATGGTGCTGCAAAGGTTTACTCATCCTTGGCTTCAAAGGCAATGTCAAGGCATTTTAGGTGTTTGAGAGATGGGATTGTGAGTCAGATCAAGACGATGAAGATGTCAATGGGAGAAAAAGACGTTTCTGCCCCTGGGTCGAGTAGAGGTGAGACTCCAAGACTTAGGGTTCTTGATCAAACCCTAAGGCAACAAAGAGCTTTTCAACAAATGACCATGATGGATAGCCATCCGTGGAGGCCTCAACGAGGATTGCCTGAGCGATCGGTTTCTGTTCTTCGTGCGTGGCTATTTGAGCATTTTCTTCATCCGTAAGCAATTAATTAATTATAAATCCTTCAAATTAATATACCTATTATATATATTTTCATGTAGCACAATTCGTTTATTATATCTTTTTTTTATAGAAATCGTACGAAGAAAGTGCTAAAGAAATATGATTTTGCCATCAATTAATCATAAGTTTTGGAAAGACAATTTGGTATTTTTGTTGTTTTCATCTACCTCATTTGGATTCCTATATTTATTTTGTCATATATATTATCTCTCCCCACCATAAATTATTTAATTTTATCTTTTCTTTTGGGACCTTCCTATTATATTTTTTTGTGGATTTGATTCCTATTACAACTTTCGTATAGGTCCCATGAATTCATGTACTCATATGCATCTTCATCAACCCTCATGATCCACACAATTTTTTCTATGTTATTTTTCGATTATTCCGGTGAAAAATAAAACAATATATAGCAATTAAGGGCATTTATATTAGATTAAACTCTACCAATTTGAATATATTATCATATAAGTATTATATTTTTTATACATAATTGTTATTTTAATTTATACAATATGTTGAGCTCTAAAAAATTCAAAAAGTTAAACTAAAAATAAATAGTTTTTTTTTTAACTGAATGTCAACAAATGTCAACTTGGTAGCCCTTATGGTTTTTTTTTTTTTTTTAGCATTCCACATCGTTCCATCTCATTCAACCATGCATCGAGGATTAATTATGTTAAATTTCTTACAACGCCTTTCTATATTAATTCTAATTTCATGTAAACATTTCAGGTATCCTAATGATGTTGATAAACACATTCTTGCACGACAAACCGGTCTCTCTAGAAGTCAGGTATATATGTCCAGATGATTTCTTATTATTATATATACAACTAAATTGACGATAATTGTTATATATTTTAAACATTTCATTGGATAAAACCTGACGTTTAAATGATACATCATTGATGGCAATACTACACTAATAAGTGTAATATTATTTAATTATATATCAAACATAAATCGTAATGCATGCATGATAGCACTACAAACTAGAACCAGCTAAAGCCTTTGCTCATAACTTTTGATTTTCATGTGTAGGTATCAAATTGGTTTATTAATGCACGAGTGAGACTGTGGAAGCCCATGGTAGAGGAGATGTACATGGAAGAAACAAGAACAAATCAAGAAACCATGGAAGGAACCTCCGATGGGTTTAATCAAAACCCACAAATGGACCAAAAACCGACTGCTGATGAGCTTGTTAGAATAGATTCCGAGTGTCTTTCTTCCATCATCAACCACCCTGAAAAGATGGATCACCACCGACCAAAAGCCATAGATCATGACTTTCACCACTCTTTTCCTAGGGTGACAAATTCATTTGGTGCAGTGGAGCTTGACTTTTCGTCTTACAACAGTCATCAGAACATCGGTGGAGGTGGAGGTGGTGGTGGCAGTGGTGGAGGGGTTTCTTTGACTTTAGGGTTGCAACAACATGATGGTGATGCCGGAGGTGATGGTGATCGTGGTGGTGGTGGTGGTGTGAGTTTAGCTTTCCCACCTACTTCTCAAGGTTCTCTATTTTACCATCGTGATCATCATATCGAAGATTGTCAAACAGAAGTTCAGTATTCTTCTCTTTTGGAAGGCGATCAAGGACAGAACTTGCCGTATAGGAATTTGATGGGAGCACAACTTCTTCATGATTTGGCTGGTTAAGATTTGCGAACAAATATTATTAAATAGTTCTAGTCATATATAAATATTTAAATTGAAAAGAAAATACGGGGCTTATAATTTTCAATTCTAGGCTCCTTCTAGCTTGATTATAAGGATATACTTCAATTAGCTTTAGATTTACAGTCAAATTTAGAATTCTTCAATGGCTAGTATCGCTTCTGAAGCTTTTCGTCTTGGTTCAATATCATGGGCATTTTAGTCATTTTACTTTAGTATATGTTAGAATGGAAAATTCAGTCATGGGAAATCTTCCGTTGATTTATTGCAAGAGTATTAACTTCCTTCTCCTCTGGGCATCATGATATTCTTTTTTATGACATACACCTACCTTTTTTATTTAATAAATTTTTAGCAGCATTTGTTTCAATTTCACAAGAAATTAAATGACATGAATTAATAGAATGAGAAATTAAATATCATATGTATTTTTCCAACAAATTGATAAATAGAATCAGATATTTTTTTTTTTCTTGTTTTGTTCGCAAGACTTAAACACGGGTCAAATCATATGAAAGCACAAGCTAACTGATCAAGGCTTTTATGGTTGAAGTTTACATCAAAGGAGTTCCAATTTCTTAGGTGCATATGTAGAATTAATATAAAACAAAATTCGAGTTTTTGGATTTATTTAGTTTATTAAATTGAGCAAGAAAAATCTGTTAGGGATTCAATTTTCAAACCTTAGGACTGGACATTTTGTATTGCATTTCATATTACATTGTCGTCATTAGTTTATCATCGTGGTCCCTATTACTGATCGTTTTTTCCATATAAAAGACAACCGATATTTTTCTCATTTAATGTGTTTTCTTGTTCGCTTTTCATTCATCAAATGAAGGAAAACGTGCATTTATTAATCGTTTTTTTAGATATAAAATTTAATGCAAGCGTGCATGGAAATATTATAGACAAATTCCTAGCTAGATATGACATTCCTATATCTCGTCTTTTCAAGTAAATACGTGAACACGACCCATAAACAGAAATGGGGACGGACAATACGTCATCGATTGGAAAGCAGAGTGTTTTCGATCTCCAATAAACGTAACAAGAACACCCCAGTTCTCATGTGATATAATACGCATATACCATTTTGGTAGACATATATTTGCATGATAACGAACTTAAAACTTTTTACCAATAAAACAATAACAATATCCAATTGCCTAATATATATATATATATATATATATATATATATATATATATATATATATATATATATATATATATATATATATATATATATATATATATATATATATATATATATATATATATAGAAGTAAGTTCATGCGAAAATATAAATATCCTGCGAAAACGCGAAAACAAATTTTATCTTATGAAAATTAAACACATGTACTATAAAAAAATAATTTTATTAGCAAAAAAATAAATTTTATTAGCAATAATTTTATTAGTAAGTTTGAATTGGATGGTGTTATGGTAATATAGATTTAAAAACGGTTTTTATAATTATATTTTTTTCACATCTTTAATCATTTTTAAATTCATATTTTCATGATAAAAATGTTAAAAATCATATTTTGCTAATATGAAACCGTTTATCATTTATCATCGATTATCATCATGTATTTCAAAGTTTGGATGAATTATTTTCCAAAATATAATGTTGAGGTGATATAATATCATAGGTTTTTCTTGTTTTCGCGTTTTCGCAAATTATTTGCATTTTCGTATGAACCCTCCCCTATATATATATATATATATATATATATATATATATATATATATATATATATATATATATATATATATATATATATATATATATATATATATATATATAGGTTCAGGTTCATTTGATATCATTCTAATTTTGTAAGATCGTTAGACCAAATCTAAAAATAAATTTAAAATGCAAAATAAATGGAAATATCCAAAAATTCTTTTTTTCAATATTATTTTCGGAACTTGAATTAACTAAAAAAAATAAAAAAAATTCCGTTTTTTTTTGAAAAATAAGTGAAATATTCTAATAAAATATTACACTAACATATTCTAAAAAATAATTTTAAAATGCAGAATAAATGGAAAAATCTAAAAAAAAAATTAAATATTATTTTCGGAACTTGAGTTAACTAAAAAAATAAAAAAAAAATTCTATTTTTTTTGAAAAATACGTGAAATATTCTAATAGAATGCAAAATAAATGGAAAAATCAAAAAATCCTTTTTTTAAATATTATTTTCAGAACTTGAATTAACTAAAAAAAATTTACAAAATAAAAAAAAAAAAAAAAAAAAATGCATCTCACGGTCTCACAAAATTAGGCCGTCTCACATGAACCTAATCCTATATATATATATAATATATATATATATATATATATATATATATATATATATATATATATATATATATATATAATATATATATAATATATATATATATATATATATATATATATATATATATATATAGGTTTAGGTTATATAAAAAACAAAACAACCCTAAAAATCATAAAAATGCATAAAAAATACTTATAAATCACAAATTATTTTTTTAAATTTTTTTTATAATAAATCGCAGGTTTTTGTTAAAATTATCTGAAAGAAAATCATTTTTTTTTTGTAAAAAAAAAAATCAAAATTTTTTTTCACCAATTTTGTATAAAAAGCTACGATTTTTTCAAAAAAAAGTTTTGTGTTCTCTAAGTATTTTTTTATGCATTTTTGTGATTTTTAGAGCTGTTTTTTAGGGGTTTTTTTTCCAAATAACCCTTTACTATATATATATAATATATATATATATATATATATATATATATATATATATATATATATATATATATATATATATATATATATATATATATATATATAGCAAGGATCATTTGAGAGCTTATAGTTTCCCGAGAACCCGAGAACCAAATGTGGAATGTTAGATCAAAAAAATGAATGACTAAAATCATTTATGACATTTTTGTAAATAAATAGAAACTTAATGGGGAGGGGGTATCTTAACTTAAAAGAGAAAGGGTATTATGGGAAACAAAAAAATAATTTAATATTATCCAAATCACAGATCTAGAGAAAAATATCTCATTCTCTCTCCCTCTCCCTCACACACATACACACACACACACACTCTCTCTCTCTCTCTCTCTCATGGGTTAGCCTCCAACCACCAATGTATCTCTATCGATGATTGCCGCCTACAACGGCCTTCGAGATCATGATTCATGACCACCGCCTACAATGGGCGTCGAGATCGCGATTCATGAAATATCAGCCACCGCTCCTTCCTTCCTCCCGTTGTCGCCTCGTCTACTAATTGTGTCGCATCATCCCTCAGACTCTTCATTGACATCTATGGATCCACAGTCGATCCAACTTTTATCTCTGATAATCATCAATTGACATGAAATCTGAAATCCTCCAACGATCAAAGCTTCTATATCACAAACCCTCCAACATGTGTTGACAATGACCATGGACGCAACAACGACTTCTCATGCTCTGCCAAGCGTGAAACTCTCAGAGTTGACAACATCCAAATTCAACCACAATTCTCCAGTGTAAGTTTATATATGAATATCCTTGTGTACAAGCATGAATGCCATTCAATTATGTGTATGATGTGCATTTTATGTTATTAGTTTCGCCTGATCAATTATGAAATGTTGTACTTCCTTTGAATCCCGATCGGTAATAAAACTGAAATCGAATTGGTAAGGAAATTGAATCCTAAGTCTATTGGAGATTCGTGCGTTAGAAGCTATATTATAATCTGGTTCTGTAAAATTTGTCGAATCCATAGCGTTTGATTCTCATATAACCTGTATATGCTTCATATCTTACAATTTTAGTTTGTTAGTATTGAAATTATTCTGAAATTTAGTCATGCCTTTGTTAATTATTGAAGCTGCAAACTCATTAATGACTATAAGGCACCATGAAACTGCATTGAAGTACTACCTGATGTTAGAAGGGAATGATGGTGTCAATAAAGTAAGTAAATAACCTTAATTTTTTTGTTTCATTATAAGTCATAGATGCTATTTATAAAAGTGCAATTTACCTTTTATGAAACTGTTATATTATATGTAGATACTATACAGATCCATTAGGCACATTTTGGCAACGTAATGGGAAAGCTATTGGGTCAGAGTCTGAAGGTGCTGATAGTTCTCCTTAGGAGCAATACAACAAGGTTTTATATAGTTTTCATTTTATTTTAATATATCCAATTCCATTCACCCAAATGTTGGATTTGTTTATTTTGGTATTTACAGGATTTGACACTAAAAGAAGCTGAGACTATTGCTCTTTCCATATTGAAGCAAGTCATGGAAGAAAAGGTGAGTATTAAATATGTGGGCTAAAAGTATGTTGTTGTTTATGATTATAGTTGTTTGTTGTAGGCTGCTGTTCTAAATTCGGAACTTGAAGCTAAGAAATTACCTGCTAATGTCTACATTGCAATGCATTACTAGCATCCTTTCATAGTAATTACTCATTTGAAGACACATTTTGGAGAATAAGTGGAAAATAAGTGGTTTACCATCAACATGGCATTTGATTTCCAACACAAAATAATAATAATAATAATAATAATAATAATAATAATAATAATAATAATAATAATAATAATAATAAATTAAAGATTACCATAAAGTGGTCATCAATTGAGATTGTTAATAATGATGTTTTTTTTATCCATCACAGATTAAAAGGCATGCGATTAAGAGGCTTATGGTGTTGCCTCTTTACCCTCAGTATTCTATTTCAACAACTGGGTCAAGTATACGTGCACTTCAAAACATCTTTAGGTAAATCATAAATGTTTGATTTCATTTTCTATCAGATTCTTGATTTTGAAACTCATTAATTTGAATCACATCACAATCACGCGTAGTGAAGATAAAGTTTTGTCTAAGCTTTATGTTGCTATTATCCAGTCTTGGTATCAACAATATGGTTATATTAAGTTGATGGATGACTTTTATTGAAGGAGAGTTGCAAAGTTTTAATAAACCTCAAGAGGTAAGCTTCTTTGTTGATTGCTTTTAAATATTAAATACCATGAAATCTCAAAGTAGAAGTATAATAAAAAAAGGATGAACCAAGAAATAGCAACCAACAGATGAAATTTCTCTGAATGAAGAGAAAAGTGAAGAACCAAGTCGATATGCTATGCTAGAAGACGGTGAAGAGTTGGAACTAAAAGAACTACAAGAAAAATCAAATCCATTCACATGTTATGCTTATCGTGCAACCAACAGGTTATATGGTTGCTCCCGTTGCAAAGGACAGGTTCATTTACTTGATACTAATTTCATTTCTTATTCTTGATTCACAAGTAAATCACATGTGATTCATAAGTAATTCACATGTGATTCACATATAAATCACATGTGAA